AAATTAAGAACTAATTACTTAAACGATATTTAAGCATTTAATAAGTACTGTCTATTGTCCGATACAATCTTTTCGCTCCTAGTTACTGACAAGAGAAAATATTTCATACAATCTATGTATGTAAGTATGTATACTAGGGTGGTGCAAAATAAGTAAAGTCGGAAATCTAATGCTGTCCGCCCCAGGATTGTTCCATACCAAAAAAATATACCCTTATTTTTTGTTTTTTGAATTCAAATAATATTTACAGGTCGCTAAAAGCGCTCAAAGTTGTTCATGGATTTTATATGGGTAAAAAACAGTTTCATGGAAATGGTGTGGAATTCTTGAAAATCAATATTTTTCGATCGGAAAACTTTGATTCTCTTCTGGAGAATTCGAATAACAAATAATACCCAATTGTTTATTTAACCATTCTTTAATACTAAAGGTTTTTTATTTATCCCCCCATTTCAGGCGGTTTCTTGGGGTTTGGCGTACCTATAAAATATTGTTACTATGTATTTTTTTAATAGCTGTTCGGTCGAGTAAACCTGAAACATTCATTGTTTTTAAGTTCTGAAGAATTTTCTCTCTAATTTTGTACCCATATTGTTATTCTACATTGCACTGATTTTTTTTTGAAATAATTTTTTGAATTAATCATATCTTTAAAATTTCAAAGTCCTTTGAAAAAATATCCTGACGTCAGAGTGAAAAACTGAAAACGTAGTTTTACTAAATTTTGCCCCATGTTTCGTGAGTACATCGACTCTTTTGTGTGTTTGGAATTTCAAGAATTCTATGCCATTTCTGCGAAAGTGTTCTGCTTCCTATATAAAATACATAGACAACTTTACTTTTACTTTTACGACTTTATTTTTCAAACGCATTTTAGGGCCACCCTAATGTATACATACCCTGTCGGAAAATTAACTACAGTGAATATCGTTTATAACGACAGCGCTTATAACGATCTATCGGCGAGGAAATTTCCAAGAAAAAGTCGAATTAGATATCGCCTTTAACGAGCAAAGGCTGAATTTCGGCTACTCGCAGTTGGTGTTTTTGTAGGAAAATTGTTTCCGTTAATTTTTGATGCAGAAAGNCGTTGTTGGTGTTTTTGTAGGAAAATTGTTTCCGTTAATTTTTGATGCAGAAAGTCGTTCAAGAATGTAAGTTTTTGGCGCTGGCGTCTTTCATGGATCTCTGAAATTCTTTCTATCCCTCTCCCGTGAATGTCATGAAATTGACTTCTGTTCTGCAAATTTAACCTAAGCTTAGGTTAGAAAGGCGTATTCCATACTTTCTCTCGGAGACAGAATGGTCCATTGTGAGTGCCCTATTTAAGAGAGTGTTGGGAGGAGGCACGTGCCTTTAATCGGACGAGTAGCTTCAAGTTATTATTTTATCGAACCAATTACTATCCCTACTACTATATGAATCCGAGGAGATATAACAGTTCGACCTCTGCTACCACACCTAGACTATTGAAGAAGCGTGAACCCAACTACTTAAGGAGCTTCGTCTGTAGACTTGGACATCGACACAGAGAAGGACTCTTTCTCTTCCTCATCATGGCAGAATCTGCCGAGAATACTTGTTGGTATTCGCCATCGTTGAAGCATTGGTGCTATAGCACGGTGTGCTGTGATGACGAAGATAAGGACTCTTACTGCCGATGATTGCCGTTTCAATATGTCCTCTACCTTTTTCCAACTAAGCTGCTGCCATAATAATCTCGTTATCTCACAGCCTTCCCGTGTTTTCCTCAAGTCATTCGTCGCAGCCAAGTATGTATCCAAAAAATTTTCTATTGTGACTACTAAACGGTGGGAGTACGGAGCTATCAGTTTCTTCTAATGGCGTCTCTGAGCCTCATCTGGCCGACTCATTCCCCTTAATAATGCTATGTCCAGGAACCCAGCATAGAGTGACGTTGATACGGCTCAGTGATGCCAGCGTGGTGCGACTTTTCCATATAATTCTCGATTTCACTATCTATGATCTTATTAGCTTCAGTGCTGTCTGACTGTCAACAAAAATATCCCCTAGGGGGTCTCGCGTAAGTGGAACTACGGGATTGACAACCCTGGGGTACCCAGTCAAAGGCTACTAGTCCTGAGTCCGTAGAGGCTCAACTGGTAAAGGTATACGAAAAGGTATTTCGAAAGTCTTACTAGAGACTTAAATCTGGTACCACGGGGAACAAATGCCCCCGAAGTGTGTTCGCCGGCTAGACTGGCAAAACTATCCGGATAGCAAGGCGCGCAAGACAAGCACAAAGTACGCCGGCAGGAAGTTGAATGAAAGGAAAAAAATTGGTGAAATAGTGTGTAATGGTGTTTAAAGATGGAATTTGTTGTAACGGAAAATATGTCCCAAGGTAGGGGACATCGGGTGTGGATGAGGTTTTGCAGCGTAATATAATATAAAACCACAACATAACGTAGCATAACATAACAAAACGTAACATAGCATTGCATACCATAATATCATATAAAATAAGATGGCATAACATAACATAGCATTATATAACATAATGTAACATAACATAACATTACGTAATATAACATAACATGGCATAGTATTACATAACATAACATCACATAATACAACATAACAAAACATTCCGTAACATAACCTAATGTAACATAACGTAATATAACATATTTAATAATACCATAACATAACATATTTAATTCTTCAGTTATATCTTTCTCTTTGTCTCTTTATTCACCTCTATGAATTTCTCTGTCTCTAACTTTGCCTTTATCTTTGTCTATCGGTTTTTTAATATTTAAGATACCCGAAAAGTACTGAACTTATTGAGATCAAGTTTATAACACTGCACTGGTGTCCACTATAGGTGTCGCGGAAATTCAGATACCTATATCTAAAGTCACATTTACGGCCTTTTTTCATTTAAGTTCACACATTAAAACATTTCCGGAAAAATTTAGAAAAGTATTGTCGGCTGTCGTAGCAAAGTGGTTATATTTGCCAACTTCCATCCGGTAGAGCAAAGGTTGAATCCCTCCTCCAGCTAATATATCTTTGGGACTTGGTTTCCTCTTAGAGCTTTATGCTGTCTAATTGTAAATTTTCGATCTCCATGTACTTACAAAAAGTTTAGAGTAAATTATATGATGGATAAATTTAAAAATCAACATCCTCAAAACCTGCCTTATACTTATTAAAAATAATTATGCGGTGTTATTTTTCAGCAAATCTATTTTTAAATTGATAATCGGAATTTAACTATACTTTCCTAAGAGCGCTCTCCTTAAATGCATTTCAACGAAGACACCAACTCTTTGCGAGCCTTAACTGGATTGCAATTCCAAAGTATTCGAATATGAAGTCTTCTGCTCCCATGCCCAGTACTACAAATCGCATTTTGCCTCAACTTTGTCAAAAATGGCTTCCTGCTTAATCTCTGTATAAAGCAACATAAAACTTAAAAAAAAAAACAACAACAACAGAAAACTCCATTAACAAGGGAACGCAAAACACAAATTCACTACAGTGGTGCAGCAAGACTCTAAAGTATGCGACAAATAAATCGACAGGCAGAGAGAGAGGCAACCACTAAAAATTCGAATGCAAAGGAGACGAATGCGCGCAGCGGGCAGGATCTCAAAAGCTACAAACGGAAGTGTTACCAAAACGGAAATTTAAGCACTCACAAATGTACCGTTGGGAACTATAGGAATGCCAAAGGGCGACCCTTTAGCAATAACAAGCGGATAGTGCTCCTAAGTTAGCAAAAACAAACGAAACGCATGAGACGAACGAGGGGAAAAAACAACAACGCATGACAAATACGCAAAATAGCAAAATAACCCGACAAGCAGCGCCGCAGGCAAAGCCGGCCGAGTGCAAAGCGCAAAAATTGCGGCAACAGCATTTCGATTGCTGCGATTGCAAGAATAATAACTTCACAAACGCACTTTTAACATATACATATATGTATACATACATATGTACATATGCAGTCACATAGACGTGTATCAGGGATGAAAAAGTAGGTACAATTGTACCTTTTTCCGACGTTTGATGACTTAAAGGTACATTAGGTACAGTCAGTAGATTTTAGGTACAATTACACAGGCCGACAAAATTTAGCCAACATTCAGACCCAGAAACCAGACTATATATTTCCGAAGGTTTATGATGCGCTGAATCCAAATCTGGCCTCAGAATGTCCTAACCTAAAAGTGCAAAAAACACCGTTTTTGCCCATATTTGAGGTTATGTAGCCTTGCATATGTTTTCGTTCACCAAAATAATAGGCTGGCATCTTTAAGTACAAGTCTTCTTCTTTCAAATGGTAGCCTGCTTGCGGTATGGTAGGGGTGGTTTCTAGGGGTTAGGGCTGTGTGTGACTCGGTACCCGTGGGTTAGATAGTGTAGGGGTTTGGTGAGTTAGCACATTTATGGTGTGAGACTAAATTTTAAGAAAAATAAGACTCAATTCGAGAAAATTAGTAGTCGACTATACAGGGGCGCACCCAGTAATATATTTTAGGGGGGGTTTTATATTTCTGAAGATATATCACCGGAAAATTTGCTTGATAAGACGCTCTTTAAAATACATTTATGCAAGTTTTATGTACAGTATGTAATAAATAAATAAACGTTTTAAAATTCATAAACTGCACTTTATTTACATAAGATTAACAGAACTCAAACACTTTTAACCGACTTCAAAAAAGGGGAGGTTATCAATTCGCCGGAATACATAACTTTTTTACCACGTGAACCGATTTCAATAATCCTTTTTTTATTGGAAAGATGGTACCTCAAGGGTCGTCCCGTAATTTGGTTTAGAGATCCGATGATTGGATCATGAAGAAATTAACGGTACCCCTAAAGTTGTATATGAGAATTGAAGTCGGTTGTGTTCTTTCCTTAAAAACTACTTGTTTAATAAAAAGT